CGGAAAAGCCCCTCGAATTGGCAAATGCCATAAATTATGCAATAAATGGGGCATTTCACATTTTTGAGATCCTAAAAGTAAGTCTCTATGAAGGATGACCAAATTGCGAAATCCACATGGACCTAGCTCAACTAAAGATTGCCTTAGAGAACTACACTTCGTATAGTGAAATGTTCATAGAAACAGCTGTACATCATACTACAGTGCTTGTCGGAACCAAGGCTCACCAGAAAGCGGTAGCGTCGAGTAATTACACTGAGACATGGCGCACACGTTTCTTGCGTCATTAAGACGCCCATATATACTTGGTCCTCCCCAAGCGAGATTGCTTGGGTAAACAGATGTGCATTCCAAAGTAGCAACGCGGCTGCTTCTCCCACACGCAGCTCTTGTTACGGCCGTGGAAGAGCGACAAGATTTCTGGCAGAAGCAAGGTAATTACCAAGCGCAGATCGCAGTAAGCATGCATTGTTTGTGGGCGGACTGATTCTCCTCTTGAAGCATGCCGTTATGTGGTAACAAAGCTTATATATATATATATATATATATATATATATATATATATATATATATATATATATATATATATATATATATATATATATATATATATATATATATATATATATTTGTGCACGTTGAAGAACGCGAGAAGGACACGATTTCCGGAGCCCTCCACTACGATGTTTCTCATCATATCCTGGTTTTAGGGCATAGCATCTCAAAAGATAATATTGGTAATATAACCCTAATTGGCGCAATAATCTTATTCTAATATTATAATAATACTTTTATTATTGTTAATAATATTTTGTTATAATATGAATAATATATTATCAATCATACTATTATTATTACGAGACCACAGTTCACGTATTGCGTTATTATAATAAAGCCATAGCTTTGCCATAAAGGCGAAGCATGAATGTGATAGCAACAAATCTTAATGGCATGCGAAGAATGGCAAGCAGATCGAAGCTCGCCCCACATTGCTCACGCACAAATGACGCACTGAACGTACTCACAAGTACAAATTAACGCGAATTATTTATTCGCAGTGTCTTTATTCGCAGTGTCTTTAAAGCGAGCCCTTTTCGCTAACGGAGACCGTGCACCGAATCCAGTGACCTTTGTGCGCCCGATATCTATAACAACAGAATAGTTCTGGTAAAATCCCAAGGCATACGATTCTTTCCACAGCGAGATAAGCGCGCGTACGCGTGAGCGTCAACCCCCCTGCCCCTCCGCGGCGCAACGTATGCGTGGGAGATGATTGCTACAGCCCGTGCCACCAGATCGTGACAATCTGGCGACGCGCGCTCTGTGCGCCATCTCACTGATAATGCTGAAAACATGGTGATTCCCCATGATCGCCTTGGGAAGCAGTAAATGGTAAATATAAACAGATTGCCATTACAAAGCTGAAGGAGGTGCCCCTTCGTGGCTCAGTGACTAACATTACGCACTCACAAGCAAGAGGCGAGACGTTCGATTCCGCGTGCCGGTGTCTTTTCTTGGTCCTATATAGATACGTATACATATACGGTCAATGACGGCAGTCACCAACGCTGACAACGGCGCGGCAACATCCAGACGAGTTAGCCATATAATTGCCCCAGCAATAAAAAGACACAGCTTTGCCGCAAAGGCGAAGCAACGAACACGATAGAAACAAATTGGAAGGTCGCGCACAGGTGGGCAAGCAGATCAAAACGTGCCCCACGTTTCTCATGCACATCTGACACACGAAACCTACTCACAGGTACAGATAAACGCGAATAAGCGTCTCAGTTTTTACTTCGCTGTGTCTGAAAAGCGCACCCTTTTTGCAAACGGAGGCTGTGCAAGAATCGAAGTGACCTTTGTGCGCCGAGTAACTACAACAGAATTGTTCTATGCACGCCCAACGCCAGCCAAGAGGTATGATCATACCCACCGGGAGATAAGAGAGCGCAAGGAATCGTCCATTCCCTCATCTGCGTGGGCCAAAGTACGTGTGAGAGATGAGAGCCGCCGCGCGCTCATTGTGCCATCTATCTGTTAATGCTGAAAACACAATATCCCCCCCCCCAAGATGCCCACCAACAGCGGCAAGCGGTACATATAAATAGCTTGCCGTTTAAATGTTGACAGAGGCACGTTTCGATAGCTCAGTGGTTAACGACCCATTTTCATGACGTGAGGGTCTCATGTTCGATTCCGCGCGCTAGAGTCTTTTTTCCGGATTCGTTTCTTTTTTAGTTTTTCTTTATATAGATACGTATCCGTAAACAGTGCATGACTCCGAAGTCTCCGTCGACACCCAAACTGACGCCGACGCCGGTGGCAAATGATTGATTGATTGATTTGTGGGGTTTAACGTCCCAAAACCACCATATGATTATGAGAGACGCCGTAGTGGAGGACTCCGGAAATTTTGACCACCTGGGGTTTTTTAACGTGCACCCAAATCTGAGCACACGGGCCTACAACATTTCCGCCTCCATCGGAAATGCAGCCGCCGCAGCCGGGATTTGAACCCGCGACCTGCGGGTCAGCAGCCGAGTACCTTAGCCACTAGACCACCACGGCGGGGCCGGTGGCAAAATCCAGCCGAGAGTGTCTATACAATTGCTATCGCAATAAAACTACTTTTGACAAGCCAGCTGAGTATGTGCACAAGGAAGGAAGAGGAAGCAACAAAAGTCAGAAAGACACAGAGGTTAACCAGAAAGACATCCGGTTCGCTACCCTACACTGAGGACTGAGGGAAGAAGTCAAGAAAGAGGAAAAAGAGGGAGGAAAAGGAAACGAAATACAGCAGAAACAGACAGTAAATTCCCTGCCGAGTTTAGAACTCCACGGCAAGTCAAAGACGCTCACACAAACCCGTCTTTTTCAAGAAACACAAGAAGGCTTTCACTGCATTGTGGGCTGTCGAGGGATGTGGACGGTGCTGTAATAGTTCCTGCACAGAAAGGGGCCGATCATCCAATCGCCGCAATACGTTGGCAAGTACTTGTCTCTCTGGGGCAAATCGAGGACCGTGGCACATCAGGTGTTCGATGTTTTTATCGGTGCCGCAAACATCGCTCGCTGTACTGTCAGTCATTCCGATGAACGAGCTTCTAGCCAAAAACGATAGAGATGCGAAGCCTCACGTCGATGTTGGCCGGGAGAAGGCCGGAGTAGTGGTGAAGCGTCAAGTTCATTTCGCTTTCAAGAGCGGACGCTACAAGGCAGATTCGTCGACTGGCTCGCAGTCTAACACTGACTGAGTGAAACACACCAAGCATGCGACACGTTTGCGCAAACTGTACAGCAAAAGTGGTGAGTCCGTCAGGCTACCGGATTTGGACGGTGTCAAAGTGCATGCCATCGCAGATTGTTTTGCGATGGATTTTCCATTTGTTTAAGAGACTTCATACTATAGGACTCAGGACAACAGACCAAGGTGGTTAGCACATCCAGTGGCTTATCGCTGGAAAAAAAGCTCATCTTCACATGAATCACACGCTTAAAACCACCCTTATAATGTTGACGAGACGTCATTCCTTCCGGCATACCAAAGGCTTAAGGTATTACATTTGCCCCAGTATTCACTACAATGCTCAATAACTGTCTGAATACTTACACTTTTTCCAGAATATGGAAATCTTCACGTTTTTTTTTCAAATCAGGCTGCCAAACTGAGGTTTCTAATTATCGCCCACTTTTTTACTGGGAGGCACATCGGATATACTTCAGGTGGCTCTTCCCAAAATATTTTATGTTAGCGGAAATTCATTGATTTCGTGTCAAAACTGGTTTCTTTCTGCCCGCTCAACCACCATGAATCTTGCTAGTTTAATGACGCAAATGTGCCCCTATGTTTCTCAGAGAGGACAGGTTGACGTAGTCTACTGTGAGCTGAGCAAGGCTTTCGACGTAATCAGCCACTTACTATTTTTCGTTAAACTTGCAAGCTTTGATGTTGACTCGTCTCTTGTGAATCTCCTGCTCAGTTACCTGCTTAATAGATAGTGTTAAACTGATAGCTAAAGATCTTTCATGTAGACAGTCAGTAGTGAGTCCCTCAAGTGTCGGGATTAGGCCCACTCTAATTTTAGTTTACGTTAACTATGTTTGTTCCGAAATTGATTATGTTTCTTCTTTCTTGTATGTTGACACCAAGATATTCAGGGAAATTTAATATGTTAACGACTGTCGCTTTCTGCACTCAGACTTGTGTTGTTTCTTTGAATGGTGTGGCAACAATAAGATTTTCCTAAATACGTCAAAGACCAAATTCATAAGTATATTTCACAAAACTTCCATCGTGTCATTTACATAATCGGTCAATGCCATGTATTTGTGGGGGGTTTATGAATTTTGTGATATTGGTGTTTTTGATAGCATACTAAATATTTCTGCTCACACTAAACGTGCCGCCATGCATGACATTCGTTCTGTCGGCTGTGTTTGCAAAATCTTTCAAGAGTTCAGTTCTTCTACAGCCTCCCACAAATTGTAAACCGTCATAAATCTTTCTCTACTTGAATATGCATTAGTGATCTGTAAAGACATTGCTAAATCTGGCAGTGAAACCATTTAGCGAATCCAGAGAAAATTCGTGATCATTTACAATCATTTTTTCGCTAGATAGGACTCTTGATCTCGTTTTAACACTTCCAGATTGTTATCATAACCATCACTTCTTTGCCAGTGAAATCGAGCTGGCCTTATATTTATGGCAAGCCGTCAGTGTCTCGCAGAAGACGAAGAAGTTGTGCCGCAGCCGCGAGTGCTCCACGTGTTCGAGCCAGCAAGAGAGAAGAAGACGCCAGCAAGAACGACAGCGTCTGTGGACGTCCATGCCAGAATAGGGATGAATAAATGATGTAGGAAACCAAACGCCGCATGTATTCCTACAAGTGGTGACCAGGACTTCGAGCGGCAACGCGCACCTACTCGTCCTTTCGTCAATGCACCGAGCGTCACGGCCAATTCTGCTTCTTCAGCCCCGTTCATTTGGGCTTACCATGGACACCACACTCTACAGTGACGCCAAGCCGAATCCCACGGTACCTGACCCTGTCGTCGCTACCCTCAGGCTCCCAGAGTTTTGGCAGGCGGACTCTGAACTCTGGTTTCTGAACGTCGAGCCACTCTTTCGACGACACCACGTAAGGTCGCAAATAGCGAGGTACGATTACGTCATCGGCGCTTTACCGCTTGCTTTTATCGCCATCGTAAGAGACATTCTGCGTTTTCCACCTCCTGACAATACCGACGACACCCTTAAAGAGGAGCTCATACGCCAGACAACTGAGTCGGAACAGCGTAGGCTGCAGCAGCTACCCACTTCGGAAGAACTCGGTGACCGAACGCCTACGCAGCTTCTGCATCGCATGCGACACCTGATCGGGGACTACTCTGCTGCATTGGACGCATCCATCCTACGCGAACTCTTCTTACACCGACTGCCACAGCAGGTGCGGATGATATGGAGTGTATTGTCTACAGAAACTCTCGACTCGCTAGCGCGGATGACCGACAAGAATATGGATATCGGTACGCCGTCTATATCTGCGATCGAGAAACCACGTGAATCTACACTCTCTGCACCGGTACGCGACGACTGCTTGGACCGCCTTCTTCAAGCTAACGAGGAGCAGAAGCGCAAGGTGGATCAGTTGGCCATTGAACTTAGCACGCTCAAGGTAGACCACTGCCGCAATGAGTCACGGGAACGGCGCCAAAGCCGCGAAAGATCGCCAAGTGTGCCTCTCAGCGTCTGCTGGTACCACCACCGATATGGAGCTCGAGCTCGTCAGTGCGAACAGCGATGCCAGTCTGCGGGAAACACACGGGCCACGCACTGACGGCGGCCAGTGTTTCAGGCCCGATATACAGCCACCTATTCCACGTCGCGGACCATGTCACCAAAATCCGCTACCTCATAGACACAGGTGCCGAAGTGTATGTTGTTCCTCCTACGTTGGAGGACGAGGACCGCCGGCGACGCCCGACTTCGCCGCCTGTCACCGCGGTCAATGGTTCGACCATACAGACCTACGGACAGAGGTATGTCACGCTTGACATCGGCCTGAGACGCGCGTTTCGGTGGATGTTCTTAATCGCTGACTTGCGTGTACCCATCATCGGTGCGTATTTTCTTTGGCATTTTAAGCTTGTGGTAGGCCTACGACATAGCCATATCTCGTGGATTCTGAAACCCTCGTCACAGTTTAGGACGTGACATCAAATTTTCCACCCTTGTGTCTTGTGCAAGCTGATGCCAAAGTCTCCCCGCCATGGTCTACTCTTCAGCAAGAATTTTCGACCTCTTTCGTTCTCCATATCTTGAGGACTCGATACGCCAATGTCACTAATATAGTGACAGTAGGAGTGCCAGTGTTTGCATGTGCGCGTCGTCTCGCTCCTGACCGCTACAAGATTGCACCCCGAGAATTCGAGCAGATGCTTGAACTCGGATACGTTCGCCCCTTTTTCCGGTGCCTTGTCGTCACCGCTACACATGGTTCCCAAGCCCTCAGGTGACTGAAGACCATGCGGTGACTATCACGCCCTAAACAATGTGACGGTGCCAGACCGCTATCCGATGCCGCATATCCAGGACTTCACGACATTGCTGCATGGTTCCATCGTATTCAGCAAAATCGACTTGATAAAGGCACACTACCAAATTCCTGTCGAGCCTTCCGACGTACCGAAGACTGCCATAATAACACCTTTAGGCATGTTTGAATACACGCGTATGCCCTTCGGTCTACGAAACACCGCACAAATCTTTCAATGGTTCGTGGAACAAGCACTTCGTGGTTTGACCTTCTGCTTCGCGTACATCGACGACATCCTTGTCTTCAGCCCCACTGCTGAAGATCGTGAACTTCACCTGCGTCAGGTTTCCACACGGCTCCGCAAATATGAACTAGTCGTCAACGGACCAAAGAGTGAGTTCGGCGTTTCCTCATTGGACTTTCTCGGCCATCACGTAGATTCGCGTGAGATCTCTCCACCGGCCGCGCGTGTTAAAGCCATATTGCAGTTTCCACGACCAACAAGTACGAAGAAACTACGTGAATTCCTCAGGCTTGCCAACTATTACCGCCGGTTTATTCCTCATTGCGCTGCCATCTTGCAACCACTCCACGCACTTCTATCCGGTCAAACGAAGCCCAACGCTTCTATCTCCTGGACGGCCTATGCAGAAACAGCTTACAGTTCCAGCAAGGAAGCTCTGGCTAACGCAACGCTCCTCGCACATCTAAAGAGTGACGCCATCACGTCACTCATAGTGGACGCCTCCGACGTCATCATAGTAGCAGTCTTGCAGCAGTTGGTCGACGGTGTTTGGCAGCCGGTCGCTTTCTTCTCACGGAAACTCTGACATACCGAGCGTCGTTATATCACAATCGGTCGCGAACTGCTCGCGGCCTATTTGGCTGTCAAGCACTTTCGACAGTTCCTAGAAGGTCGGCAGTTCCATATCCCCACCGATCACAAGCCGCTCACGTGTCAATCGACCGGTACCAACTCTGCCCACACCCCACGTGATATCCGCCAGCTTGCCTACATAACGGAGCTCACGAGTGATATCCGGCACATCAGTGGCATCGTGCTGGCTCGAACACGTGGAGCAGCTGCAGCACAACTTCTTTGTCTTCTCCGAGACGCTGACGGCTTGCCATATATTCTTTAAAAACTAGTTCACGATAGGATACGCTGTCCTTTACTTTTCAGCTGTGCAAATTTTTGGATTCCGCGTAAGTTGACTAGATAGAGAATAGACTATTTCATGTACCTGCCAACTTTTTTTAATGTTCTACTGTTCGCAGAATGCAAGCTCTCTATATATTTAGCTTTCATAATTTTGTTGTTTTTCACAGTCTGCTTTCATTGTTTTCATCCCAGCTCTGCACTGTCTTAAGATGGTCGTTCACAAGGTACAGATTGTTTTCTTTTTTGTCTTTCAGGAAGGTTTCCGCGGTGGTCTGCTTATTCCCCTTTATTTATTTTTCACCCATATTCCATGATTCTCGTCTTGTCTTCTTATTGTTCCTAGTTTGCGCTGATTTCTGTTTGTCTTTGTGTTTTTATTCTCCTTACCTGTTCTTTCGGAATATTATCTATACTGTCTTGTTTATTTGTATTGTTTTAATTTTGCGCGCGCCTGCACTAAAACCGCATGGTTGTTCTAGGGCACATAAAAACTGATTGATTAAATTATTTGATTGATTGTTTTCTTTATTTTGAGAAAGAAGATGCTTTATTTTATGCAGAGCATATTAACTCTTCAGTATATTAGCCTAATGTGTTCCTGGCATATGTTGTCATGAAATTACTGTGCAAACCCACAGTTTTTGAACAGACGTTTCAGCTCCATTTTCTCTTTGTAGAGTTTGATATGAAAATATGGCATGTACATGATTGCGCTGTGTTTGTCCTCAACAGTTTATGTGGGAAGTTTTAAAATTGTTATTTGTTTGTTTTGGGAAGGAAAGATTTTCTACCTATAGCAACCATGAAATTACTCAGTATCCATACTTTTCCAGCTAACCCTGAAGTAGCTGCTCGAACTTCAGCTGGTAAATAGAGGATGCAACTTCCGATCAGGCTTTGAGAAAGTATGCTGTCATAAATAATAAAAAGATAATGTTGAGTCACTTCGCAAACAAGAAAAAAAACAGTCTCACGTACTGAACTTGTCTGTTGCATACCACATAACTTCAGACACTAACTACTTGCCTACCTCATTTCAGGGTCAAAAAATCAAAGCGAAAGACTCATGTCTACCAGTGTCTGCTAGTGTGAATAAACAGGGGAGACAAAAAAACTAAGCATACACGTGTACCATTATTCATAGAGGGTTCGTTCCAGGTTACCTATTGATTACTGAACTGTGCGCGTGTTGTGTAAGAGTGCTCCACATTACAAATCTAGCAGATCTTTAGGATAAATGGAACAAATAACTTGGTTGTAACTTTAACCAGTTCCATGAACGCGCTCTGTCGTCAGAGTAAGGATGACTACGCACAATAGGGTGCCAGGTGTGCTAAAATTAGAACGCTGAGATTGTCCACAACGCTTGGTAAAGGCGCTTCAGCCATAAATATCATGAACACAACGCGAATATTCGGTCAATATGTCTGCTAGGGGTCAATATCAAAAACCATGACTATAAGTCTTTAGCGGCGTTTACTTAATACACCAGGTGTTTAACGTCAGGCTTTATGGTTTTCTTGAAGTTAAGAAAACGGAAAAACATAAAAACCATTTTTGCAGATAACATATCCATCCACGTGGACACAAATTTAGACAATAAGTATATCTGTCAGTGACTACTTAAAATTGATAATGAACTTTTCAGGGACTGTAGCAAGCGGGAATATTTCTGTTGAAAAGCTGGAGGCAGTGGCGTTTCTACACAGTTTCACTTTGAAAAATCATTCCAGTATATTTGTGCTCTGAGATGTCCCACGGAATAGTGCATATTGCATGATTAGTTACGCATGCAAAACAGTCATCACTGGTCCGAAGCTCCTCCCCGATGGGCCGCGGCAGTTGCGGCCGTCGTTTATTCTGATAACGGGTTGAAGTCACTGATCGGTGCATTGACAAAGATGATAACGGTTGCACTTTCACTACCGGCTGGTGATAGCAAGTTGTGATTGTTCTACATTGATTGATTTGTGGGGTTTAACGTCCCAAAACCACCATATGATTATGAGAGACGCCGTAGTGGAGGACTCCGGAAATTTTGACCACCTGGGGTTCTTTAACGTGCACCCAAATCTGAGCACACGGGCCTACGACATTTCCGCCTCCATCGGAAATGCAGCCGCCGCAGCCGGGATTTGAACCCGCGACCTGCGGGTCAGCAGCCGAGTACCTTAGCCACTAGACCACCGCGGCGGGGCGTGATTGTTCTACACATCAAGGAGAAACATTGCACCGATTTTCACACCTTGAACGCATAGGCAGGCACTGCACAAATAAACTTTGCCACAGGATATCTTTGAGCACAAACATGCTAGAAGAATTTTTCTGCGTGTGACTGTGTAGAAACACGACTGCCTCCAACTTTAATGCCTCCAACATTTCGTTACAAATATACTTGCTTGCTGAAGCCGCTGAAAAATAGATAATTAGGTTTTAGTTATTTGGGCCACCTATATTACTTTGTGGTCCCCTGGATACATAAGTTATCTCAAAAATTGTTTTCACGCTCTTCCCGGGACTTAAATTTGAGATTGCCATGAAGCTTAACTCTGAACACGTTGTAAAACAAAAGGTACTCAGGCATGTACTCGGCAAGATTATAGCAGTTGTCGCGCTGTATCTTGCCGCGGTCATTCGGGTTTCTGCCTAAAATGGTGTTACGTGCAGATTAAGCAGACAGGCACAGGACATGCTGAAAGTGTTGAACTGTTACCTCATTGTGATGCCTCTTTTTGCGACTGCACGACGAGGCTTTTTTTTTTCTTGTATACGCAGAAGGATTCAGGAGCGCTTATGATACAGAGAATTGTTGGCGAACAGACCATAAACTAGGAAGTTTCAATTACTTTCCACAATGTCTATAGTGAATTTGCTGTAACCTCGTTGAATTCAAGCTTACCAACGTAGGAAAAGTTTGTATAGCACTATTCTATAGTCATGGCGTTCGGTTCAGCAGCAAAAGGCTTTCCTACAACTGGGTTGCGTTTCGAAAATGACAAAAAGTTATTTCAGCTATTTTTTTTTTGCTTTTCACAATAACGTGTTCAAACAAGCATAAAGTCATCTATTCTTGTGGCCATTTATTCCTGCCACTGGGTGAACCTTTTCATTAAAAAATTCGGTATGGTTTTTCTCATCT